CGCCCCGCTGCCACCCACCTACCACCACCAGCAGTTCCCAGAGGTCCCCTTGGGCATGCCCATGGTGAACGGTCACGGCTACCCCGGCGCGGGCGCGGGGGCGGGAGCGGCCACCCCTTACCGGGTGCCCGAGCCCACGGCCTACGAGCAGAACTTCCGTGAGCTCACCACGCCTCTACGGCCAACCCCTTTCCCTAGTCCAGCCCACCCGGGCTGCGATGCCGACTCCGGGCTCGGAGATGACGACTCGACCCGGGGCATCAATTGGGGCTCGGTGCTGTCACTGTCGTCGCAGTCCGACCTGGATCCGCTCAACAACAACGAGCTGTTTCCGACGTCGCCCTCCCCGACGCTTTCGCCTTCACCGCCCTCGCCGGCGCCCTCAGCACACTCCAATTCGGACTCGCTAGGGCTGCTGGGCGACGAGGACCTTGGCCACGAGTTTGATGACTTTCTGCCGTCGTGGAAACTGACCCCACTGAGCGCGGACGACCTGCTGAAGAGCGTCCCTTGCGGACCCTCCGCTAATGTGAATCACCCTGGTGAGGGGGAACTAGACTCTATAATGCATGTCCTCGTTGGCTCATAGTGTCACGTGTTCTGTCACGCTCCTCAAAACAAAGTACCTGCTTTTTTCAAGAAAATCAAATTCCAATCTTATTAATACATAGGAAAAGAATTTTCTAACGTTCATTTGTTTTTCGTTGTAGATTTTTAAGAAAAAGGTGTTGAGCTAGGCTATCTGTCAGTGAAAGCAAAGTCGTTTTATGGAAGTACAGTGGTTGTGATGGGGAATATCCCAATTTGTTAAACATACTCATGCTGGACTGACTTTTTACACACCGGGTGTATGTTATTACTTTGATGTGTTGTAGTCACAGTCCACACTGCGCTGCCTGTATTGAAGAGAGAAAATTATTTACTAGTGCAATTTGCATGGTCTCAAAATATTTGGGTTTGAATGGTTTACCAAGTGTTGTTGCTTTCTGTTTTAATTTTGCTGATTCATTATATAGTACCTGAAGAAAAATGTAGTTTGTCAAGGCTTGTTCTTAGTTTCTTCTGCTACATTCTCTCTTCTAACTCTCTCAAAGATACTTCAAATTTGACTGAACAGTATTGTTGTCTTTTGTTTCCTTTAGAGAAAAATCAATCTTAAACTGGCTTGTTTTGACAGCAATTGTTCAGACAAAAATCGCATTATGTATTCTGTCCTAAGAGAGAACAAATCACACTTACGTTCTTCAGAGTGCTCAAGTTATGCTTTGTTAATTCTTACTTATTGGCTCATGTTCTTATTTCTATTTTAAATAATTTTGAATGCCATGGAAGTTATTGTTGAAGCCATTTGGTAATGGAATATTAAGATTTTAATTTGCACTGTAAAATTATTTTGTGTATTCAAAAGTACAGTAACCTGTATGAAGGTGAAGTGAGACTCTATTTTTTTAAAGGGGCATGAGGGCATAACTCAAGTAGGAGAAAAGTTTTGTGTGATTTCCAACAGCGAAAAGTATGGCTTAAACAATAGTATTTTTGTGGACAGTTGTCAGAACGTCTTTTAAAGAGTGTCAGCTTCATAGTATTTGACTTTGATTTTACATACGAAGTATATTCTTTCCTATTCAGAATCTGTCAGTCTCATTTGGATCTTTGTTAGAGAAATGTTCTAAATGGGTCTTTATCGGACTACTTTTGAAGTAACTCTGAAAATGGAGTTGGTTTACTTAACTGGAAATCACCTTTGATCTCATTTACATGAAATGACGTAACTTAAATCCATTGAACTAAATTTGTGTCCATTGTTATAATTGATCTTTTGTTATTGTTTACTTAATTTTAAATCATTCACATTCTAGGTGCAGTAATGCTATTACGTGGTTTCTGTGGCCATTGACATGTTTCAGAAACCATTTACTTACCAAGCCATTGTGATCATGTAATTACTGTGTTTTCAAAATCAATGGTTGTGGAATGTCCTTCTCATTCATAGATGAAAACGGTTCTTTGTGTTCTTGGAGTAGCTCTTTGTAAATAGTTGTGTTATATATATCTAAG